CCGGGCTGCACGCATGCCAGGAGAGCGCGCTACTGCTTGAGCCACATCCCCAGTCCTCCCCAGCCCTTTTAATTATTTAAATTTTTTTTTAATTTTTAATTTTATTTTTAGAAAGGTCTTGCTAAGTTGCCCAGGCCAACCTTAAAACTTTTGATCCTTCTACCTCATCCTCCCGAGTGGCTGGGATTACAGACCTGTGCCTCCATACCTGGCTATAACAACCTCTTCAAAAGATCTATCTTCAAGGCCAGACGCCATGGCATACACCTGAAATCCCAGCGGCTTGGGAGGCTGAGGCAGGAGGATCAAGAGTTCAAAGCCAGCCTCAGCAATTTAACGAGGTGCTCAGCAACCCAATGAGACCCTGTCTCTAAATAAAACACAAAATAGGGCTAGGGCTGTGGCTCAGTGGTTGAGTGCTCCTGAGTTTAATTCGCGGTGACCCCCTCTCCCCCATGTACTGGCATACCGCTGTTATCCCAATGACTTGGCAGGCTGAGGCAGGAGGACCCAAGTGTGAGGGCAGCCTCAGTAATTTAGCAAGACTTTCAGCAACTTAGTCCCTGTCTGAATAAAAAACAAAACGGCTGGGCATGTGGCTATGGTTCAGTGGTAAAGCAACCCTGGGGGCAACCCCCAATACTTAAAAACAAACAAAAACTCTATCTCCAAAACAGTCCCATTGGGATTAGGGCTTCAATATATGGATTTTGCGGCGTACAATTCAGTCTATGACAAGGCTCACAGATCTCATGTGGATAAATTCTGCAGCTGGGAACACGGAGCCATTGACTGGCTGGGACCCTTGTGCCCTTCCATTAGAGTGGCTTTGCAGGCAAGGTGCTTCTCCTTTTAGAGCCTCGGGTGAAACAGGTGGACCTAAGGTCCCTTGCAGTGTAGAGCCCTCTAATTTTTTTTAATATTTATTTTTTAGTTTTAGGTGGACACAATGTCTTTTATTTTTATGTGGTGCTGAGAATCGAACCCATTGCCTTACGCATGCTAGGCTGAGCCACACCCCCAGCCCCGAGCCCTAGGATTAATGCATGCATTCTTCATGGTTCAATCATGTTCACTTCCTCAGAGCAGGGACACAGTCACCAGCCGGACAGAGTGGATAGAAGCTCAGGTGGACGCGCACACACACACGTACACAGGCTGGGGGAGGGTGGGTGAGATCGAGGCATGGGCAGCCCTGCCTAGGGACCCTGATGGGGAGCCAATAGGACCCCAGGCTTAAAACCCTCTCCTAGCTTCCCCTTGCACCTAGAATAACACCTGTTCCCCACCTTCACCGTGGCCTGGAATGGGGCACACTTTTTGCTCTGTCTTCTACGTGGTCCTTCCACCAAGTCTACCACCTTTGAGCCATTCTCCAGGCTGAAGCCCCAGCCAGCCAGTCAGGTCAAGGGCATCAACCTTGTTGCCAAGTCTGTGGCAAACTCCCAGTCCTCAGATCACCTCTCACTGGATGATTCCCAGGTGACTGGGCTGCTGGTGATGCTCCTAACTAGGAGGGCAGAGGAGGATCTCATGGGGTGCGAGGGTCTGGTGTGGACTCCCTGGAGAGGACACAGCAGGTGGGGAGGCTTAGGATGCAGGTGAGCGGCCTGGGCAGAGTTCAGCACAATCAGCACCAGACAAGGTGGATCAACTTGAAGCAATGGGTGTGGAAATAAGATCCCTCAGACAGGTGGACAGACTAGAGGCCCGGGCAATGACAGCTATGAGTTCAGACCCAGGAGAGGCAGAGGAACTGGAAAGTGGCTGAGATGAAGTAGCCAGATACCAAAGCTGGTCCAAAGTCAGGGCCCCTGGAAGTGATGGGGACAGCTGATGTCCAGTGATGAGGGACTGATGCCCAGGGCCAGCTGAGCTGAAGATCGAGAGAAGCCCGAGGTCAATGTCCTGTGCAGAACCATGTGTTGCTCTCTGGCTTAAAACCCTCTAATGGCTGGGCATTGTGTAATCCCAGTCAGTTGGGAGGCAGAGGCAGGAGTATTGCAAATTCAAGACCAGCTTCAGCAATTTAACAAGACACCGTCTCAAAAATAAAAAGGGTTGGGAATATAGCTCAGTGGTAGAACATCCCTGGGGTCAGTCCCCAGTGCTGCAAAACACAAAACCCCTACAGGGCCCACCTGCCCACTGTCCCTTCACTCATACACTCAGCTAGACTGGCTTTTCCTCTCCTTCTTCAGTGTGTCAAGTTCATGCCCAGCTCAGACCTTTGTTCCTGTGCTCCCTCTGTGTGGAACACTCTTCCAGATTTCCCATGACTGGCTTCTTAAATTCAGGACTCAGCGAAAATACAGCCTCTGCGGAAGGGCCTTCATGGGATGAGCCCGATCCTGCCCATTTCCATCTGGGATGATGCTCTCAGCTCGTCACCCACACCTGTCCCTCTCCCCTACCCCCATGGGACTACATATTTGTAGTAGTAGGCTGGCTTTTTTTTTTTTTTTTTGAGAGAGATTTTTTTTTAATATTTATTTTTCAGTTTTCGCCGGACACAACATCTTTATTTTTTATTTTATGTGGTGCTGAGGATCGACCCCAGTGCCTGGCGCATGCCACATCCCCAGCCCTCTGAGGCTGGCTTTGAACTCGTGATTCTTCTGTCTCAGCCTCCCAAGCTGCTGGGGTTACAGGTGCACACCACCACGCCTGGCTCCATTTTCTGATGAGGTCCTCTCCTTGTTGCCGCTGCCCCACTTGTTCCTGGGCCCTACTCTTCAGTTCACCCTTCTCTACTCCGTCCTCCAGTTCTGACGGAGCCTTGGGCCTCTGCGTTTGCGCAGGCTGCTCCCTAAATGCAATCCGCCCTGCCTCCTCTGGCCAGGTCTCTCTCATCTGTGTTCCAGGCAGGCCAGCCGCTCTTTCTCCTTCTAGCCAAGCAAGAGCACAGATGTTTAAGACACAGAACTTTGGGGTCACATGTATAGCTCAGGGGTAGAGGGTATGTGTAGCATGTCAAGGTCCTACATTTGATCCTAAGAACCCTTTTTTTTTTGTTGTTGTTTTGTTACTGGGAATCGAACCCAGGGGTACTTGACCACTGAGCCACAACCCTAGCCTTTTTTCTTTCTTTTTTTTTAAATTTTTATTTTGAGACAGGGTCTTGCTAAGTTGCTTAGGATTTAGGGCCTAAGTTGCTAAGGCTCACCTTGAACTTTCAATCCTCCTGCTTAAGCCTCCTGAGTAGCTGGGGTTAAAAGGTGTGCCTCCATGCCCATGATACCCAGTCCCTTAAAAACAAAAAACAGCTGGTGTGGTGGCATACACCAATAACTCCAGCTACTTGGGAGTCTGAGGCAGGAGGCTATCAAGTTCAAGGCCAGCTTAGACAACTTAGTGAGACCCTTTTTTCAAAAAAATCAAATCAAGGCTGGGTATAATGGCACATGCCTGTAATCCCAGTAGCTCAGCAGCCGAGGCAGGAGGAGTGAAAGTTCAAAGTCAGCCTCAGCAACTTTCTGAGACCCTAAGCAACTTAGCAAGACCCAGTCGCAGACTAAAAAATAAAAAGGGCTGGGGATGTGGCTCAGTGGTTAAGTGCCCCAGTTCAATCCCTGGTATTCTCCCCGAAAAATCAAACAAAAACCCCCACAAAACTTTATTTCCTCTGACTCCATTTATTCTGTCTCTGAGCTTCTAACCTCTCTGATGCAGACATTTTAATTCAGTGACTTCCTGGTAAACTCAAGTTCAGCTATTTTTTAAAAAAATATATATATATTTTTTAGTTGTAGATGGACACAATATCTTTATTTTTATGTGGTGCCAGAGACTAAACGCAGGGCCTCACGCATGTGAGGCAAGCGCTCCACCACTGAATTATAGCCCCAGCCCATGTTCAGCTATTTTTGATTCTTGACAATTTCAACACTCTCCAAGTCCCCCCCCCCCCGCCATTTTCTCTTCTTCCAGCCCTGGGGGTAATGTTCCCTGTTGGCGAGGCCTGAGCAAATGCCAGGGAAGCACAGCTGCCTCCGAGCTCCCTCTCTTCGGGTGCCATCTCTGGTGGGGGCCTCCTGGTGAAGGGAGACACTCCACTGGGCCCGCCTGTGTAGTTCTTTGTAAGAAGTGTTCTCTCCTTCCACTGAGGGCTCTGCTCACGAGCTTTACTCTGTTCCATCGAGGGGTGATCTCTGTCCATCAAATCTACACAGGTCACTCTACATTTTCCTCAGTCCCTACCACTGGCTACTCTGGGCATGCCAGGCCTCCCACAGCCCTTTTGCATTCTGCCGGGAACGCAGGCAGTCTGTCTGTCCTGTGGAGGCCTGGACTGCTCCCTGCAGGATGAGGCTTAGATCCCACCCACCTGGGATGCCCAGAGAGGCTCCAGCTTCACCTGCCCTGCCACAGGTTAGCAAGCATCAACGGATGCTCTGGGAATGTTTGCTGAGAACAGTGGTCCCTGGGTCAGTTCCAGACTTTCCTGGCCTTCCCAGTGGGCCACAGCCATCTTCCTCCCGCCTCAGGCTCCCGTGCCTCGGGAAGGAGCCCTCCTCTTGCCTGTGGTGGGTGGGCAGACAGGCTCCCTAGAGGGGCATGACACACTCGGCCTTTTAGGCATTTACTTAAGACATTAGCTTGGCTTTGTGCATGCTGACAGGGTCTGGGCCTGGAGCCCAGCCTTGTGGAGACAACACCAACTTTCCCACAGCTGGGGGCTGGGGCAGAGAAGGGAGAGGGTGCCACCCAAGCTTTCCCAGCAGGGGGAGGGAGGGAAGGAGAAGGCTAGCCATTTTTTCCTTTGCTTCTCCACCGCCTGACAGCGCACCAAGGCCCACTGGATGCCTCTCACAGGGTGCCCCCAGGTGGCCTTCCAGGGACTCACACCCATTCAGTGGATTGACAAGTTTTGGCTGGTTCCAGCAGAACTGCTAGATGGCATCATCACCGCCATTGAGACTCAAAGTGGGATGACTTGCCCAGCTTAAATAGCTCTTTTTGAATCTAGGTCTGTCCTGGTCCCTAGCCTGCTGTCTCCCTTCTATGTGCCCTTTGAGTCCACAGAGCCTCATCAAGAGTTGAGGGGACATGTAGGCTCCTCCTGCTCTGATGCACGTCAGCTGTTTCTCCCACTAAAGTGATGAACCTCTGCTTGACAACCTCAGGAAGTGGCAAGGCCGTCGCTTCTCGAAGCATCCATGAGCACAACGACCTGCTCTGTCCCTGGCGTTCTGAAAGATGAAGGGTAGTGATGGCCACTGACAGAGGCAGGACTCAGCTGGGAACACTGGTCCTGCCCCTGGGAGGTGAGAAGGCAGGGAAGGGGAGCCCATCAGGCTGCTGGGTTTCAAGGTGATGCCTCTTGTCCTGCCTGAACCTGGGGGTGCTCCAGGCCCAGTTTCTAGGGACCTTACTCAGGTTCCAGGGGAGGGGTGATATGAGACTTTGGGTGGACGACCTGGCTCAGGAGAGGGACACAGACAGGCCAGTGGTTCTGGCACTGCCTCCCTTGCCCTAGCCAGGTCCTACCATTCATACCCAATGAGCATGGCCTCTGGCCCCTTAATATGCAGAAAAGCAGAACACCTGTCTGGGGGCCTGGACAGGCAGTGGATGCCACTTACTATGACTAGGCACTATGCTATTTCATTTCATGTGCAGCTTCACTTGACCCTCATGACCCTGTAGGGAAGAAGAAACTTTGTTTACAGGCAAGGAAATACATACCCCAGGTTAAGTCCTAAATAGGGGAGGCAGGATTAAAACAAAGACCTCTAGGCCGGCCGTCTGGCCTGTGTTCCCAACCACCTTTGCTGTACTGCTTCAAGACCCTGGGTTCTGTGCCTGCTCTTTGCTTAGGAGGCCAATGCAGATGCTATCCTGGCCCAGGGGCCACCACTCCAAGCTCATCACACTCCTTGGGTCTCCCTGTAGAGCAGGACAGAGGCTCTGCAGTACCAAGCCCTCAGGAGACAGTGGCTTATTAAACAGTTGTTCCAGGAAAGGGACGAAGGAACACAGCTCTCCTAGAGGACACAGAGCACCTTGCCAATGACTTTGCTTCTAACATCAACCTCCAATCCCAAATGCTTCCCAACACAGCACTTTTTCTTTTCTGTACCTAATAAAAAAACAGTTATGACAATTCTGTCCATTTTGTTTTATTTGTTAAATTGCTAAAAAGTCATTGGGGGAAACATTAACAAAAAATGAAATTGACAGATTTAAATACCCATGAAATCCATTTCATTCCTACACTGTTATGTGCCTAAAATGACTGTCTCAGGGGGAGCCACCTGGCAGCCCTGAGTCGTATGGGAAACATCACTCACAGCACCAGCTTTGCCAGGCACGATGGGTGCACTGACATGAACCCTGGTTGGTGGGAGGGGAGCAGAGCAGGGAGAGAGTACACCAGAGCCAACACTAAGGTCTGCCCATGTTCACGATGAACAGGGTGAAAGGGAGCCACACACTGGTGACATGCAGAACATGCCTTCTGCAGTTCCAGGGAGGCTGCCTGAGCATAGGCTTCCTGGCCCCCGGGCACGTTCAGATCCTCCCCACTGACTTGTGCGCTGGTGAGACCATAGATAATGCAAAGCAGAGCACATCACCATGCCAGGACCACCACAAGGACAAGGACGGACAGACAAACCAACCAGGTACATCACTTTGAAAGGGAAGGAAACAAGCGAAGCAGAAGAAAATCCAGAAAGACAAGGTGAAGGAAGGAGATGTCCCCTTGCTCTCCATAGGCCAGTGGCTTTCTGTCCTCAAAGTCAAGCATCTCACATGGATTTCTTTCTTCCTCCTCTTCTTTAGAGTTACAACACAGTTCCCACACAGTTCATGGTTTCAGCTCTTGCTTTGCAACTCAAACATTAAACAAACCCACAGAGGGTAGGAGGAGAGTAAGCCCAGTATTGCCTTAAAAACAAAATTTAAACTTCTTTTGACACCTAATTGGTGCTCCCAAATATGGGGGCAGGGCAGGGTTGAAGAGTCCACCATCCAAGTGTGGAGGAAGGGTGGAAACTGGGACAACACAAAACGCTCTCCGCTGCACGATGTGGGATGAGAACAGGAAGCTCTGTTCAAGAAGGTAGAAGAGACTAAAATTCCTACACGAGGTCAATGTGGTGACGGGTGAAGACAGTTATCACCTGGGGCTCTCAAAGGCACACTTGCAGGAATGGAAGGGTTAAAGCTTCAAGTAGAAACAAGATGTATTTTTAAATACTTAAATACTGTTAAATATTTGCTAGGTGCTCCTGAGGGTTTAAAAAAAGTATTTTGTCTCCTTTCTTTCAGTCAATTTTAAGACAAAATTGTTATCGCCGTCGAAACGGAGTCGTGGTCAAATCTGATCTGAGGGCACTGTGGGCACACTCACCTCAGCCGAGACACGTGAAGTCTCACTATGCGTGTGGCCTTGCCAGGGCTGAGGAGACCATCACCTTGACTGTGCTGAGTCGCCTTCCCACAGCAAAGGCCCTCAGTGCCCAGGAGCCACCGGGTGCGGATGAGGCAGATTTTTCCCTCAGGGCTGTAAACGGACAGTCTGGTTCCCAGCAGCGTGGGTAACACTGGGGTGCCACGGAGTTCAGAGCAACTGGGTTATTTTCTAAGAGGACCAGCATTTCCGCTGCCTGCTACTTGGGGGAAAGTAGAAGGAACCAACAGCTTACAGCTAGGTTAAGAAGGCCACAGGACAAAGGGAAAGATTACAAAGTGGAGATTCTGAATTTTCAGGCTTCCGAGTAGTTGATATCGAAGTAGGACTAAGTTTGGAGGCACGGTCCATGCACAAACACAATGTCATGACCAAGGTTCAGCAGCAGTAGCAGCAGCAATGCAGAAATTGCTGATCTTCTGGGCTGGCTTCGCTTTGTGAATCAAGACCCCACATGATTAGATGGTCTTGGCCAGGGAGGGACTGGCCACAGCTGCAGAGCAGGGGAGTTGGAAAGCCGAGTACGTGGCTTGGAGTAGTGGGATACTGCAGAAGTAGGCACATGGTCGTTTCCTCATCTGAGGGAGCATGTACAGCAGTTTCTGGAACACATACCTCTCCCTATGAAAGGGCCTTTGCTGGGCTTGGCACCAAGGGGCCTGTCCCACAAAGACCACGAAGGCAGAGCAAATGGCTAAGGGAAGGGTTCATCATGATGTAACCGGAGAAAACACTTATCAGACAGCTAAGCGCTGGCTAAGAGCCAGGACTCAGGGCCAGCTGCAGCCCTGGCCTGTGCTTGGGAAATGCTAACAAGAAAACAAGCGTGGGGGTGAGAAACATGATGTTTTAAAATTTAAGCCCTAAGGACAAAATTAAAGTCCTCTATCCACTGAGGATAAATCGCCAAAAATCCATATTTTAATGGTGCCACTTGAAATAAACTTACTTTGACATCTCATGTCCAGCCTTGGTTTAGACTAGTGACCTGCAACTTTCTGTTTTAACCAAAAAAAATGTGCTACTAGGCTGCACCTTATCTCAGAAATGAAGCAAAGTCTAAGTCCAAGCCCTGCTTGGGTGACGCATGAATAAGAGGATGGATCTGCTCCCCAGGTCAGCCATGTGTCACAAAGGTCAAGAACATGATGCTCAACCCAGTCGCCAGGCAGATGACATGTCACAGGGGGAAAAAAACATTTCTGGAAGGAACTGTTGTGAGGATTCCCTTCCAGGATCAAATTTCACATTCCACAAACATGGACAGGTGTGCCCAATGTGCTTTGAAAGTAAGAGAAGCCCACAGGGGAAACCCAGTGTCTTGAGGGTTTAAGGATTCTTCATGACACTGGCCTCCTAGTAACACCACGGAAAGCGTTCTGATTTCTCCAGGCACCCGAGCTTTGTAAAAAGAAAAGACAGTGAGAAAGGTTTCAGAGCTTTAAAAAATCCATATGCAAACAAACAAAATGGGGGAGTTTGGGAATAAAGCAGCCTATAAACAGGGTAAGGCAGCAAGGAGGACTGATTCTAAAGAAGGAAAAGGAGAACAAACATGGTTTTTGGCAACTTGCAACCAAATACGATTGTCAGAAAATTCCACAATCAGATACCACGTTTTCTGAGACATGCAGGGAGCACTCAAAAGACCAATGGACACTTGGCAGACAGATGTCGGAAACATTATTTCAAGATGATCCTGGCACATGTGGAACAGATCCCCTGCTGAGGGACTTCCCTCAGTCAGAGGGCAGAAGCAAACCAGACACAGGGCATCTCTGCAGAGCTGTCACAGGTCCTCTGCGGTTTTAAGAGAAGGGGAAGGACAGTTTTCTTTAAATTACTTTTACCCTGCCAGCACCTGTAGCATGGGGCGGGGGCTGAAATCCTTTGCATTTTGTCTATGCCCTTCCATTTTCTAATTCTGAGAAGGCCACGTAAAAATTTACAGGGGCTCTTCAGTTTCTTTTGGAACATTACCGATTGTTAGTCTGTTCCCTAACTTCTTGGTCTATTTAACAGCAAAGTAGAAAAAGGCAGCACAGCCTCTGCTAAAACACAGCAACGATTTTATCTGAACAGGACGGAGCTCTCTCCCTTTTTTGTAAACAGAGTTGGCTATATAATATATATATATATTTTTTTTCATATATAATTTTTTTCTTAATGGAGATTTAATCCCAGCCTGGCATGAGTAGGCTGGGAATTGGAGTTTTGGTTTCGGGGAGTAATGCTGTTTTCCCAATTCTCAGTCCAAATGCTCACACACTGGAAAATTCCAAATTAAAAGCCACAGAAGGGAAAGGGGTTTTGAACACATTATCTCTTTGCTCGGACAAAGTACAAGGCGTTTGTTTTTGGGTAGTACTTCACATTCTGCTTCTTGTCCATGAGTCCTCCGAATATGATGAGTTCGCCCCTGCCTTGTACCACTGTATGCAGGCTGGTTTCAGGAGGCCCGACCACAGAGCTGCTATTAAACACTTTCCATTTGACCCGCCCCTTCTCCTTGGTGTCTTTGATGTCCAGCACGTACATCTGCATGGGCTTGCAGTTCATACTCTGGTACAGGGGTTTGCCAACATTGAGGGACTGTGGAGGGTGGTGGCCCAGGCGGCGGGCAATGGGGGGTAAGGAATGTCCATCTCCTTGGGCAGGCCCTGGGCGGGGTATGGGCACTGTTTCTCCACTGCTCAGGCTCTGGCTCCCAGGGGAGCCTGGAGAAGACCCAAGAGGAGGGCTTAGTGCTGCAGAAGCTGAGGGGCCCTTGGATGACATTGCTTTGATGGCTTCCAGACTCCGACGCAGGGCACCAGGGGAGACAGCCCCTGCAAGGGCACTGGCCACATGTGGAGGGGTATGGACACCATTGGTCTGTTCTGGAGGGTGTCTCACACTCCCTGTAACCGTCCTGTTGTCCATACCATCCACATGATTGCTACCAGAAGCAGGTTTCAGGTCCCAACTCAGATCTATTGACCCCAATCTCAGATCTTTTTGATCTGGTAAAGACCCTCGTCGGGGGGCCAAAGAAAGTCCCATTTTTAAGTCATATCCTTCAGAGGCAGATGGAGTGCTTGGTGATATGGCCTGTACAGGGCTGTCCAAGGAAGAACCACCAACAGCTGCTGTTCCTGGAGATAAACTCCCGCCATTGAGGATGGGAGAGCCATCTCCTCTAGCTGGGGAGAGGCTCCCTTCCCGGGAACCTGAGGGAGTCTGCCTCTGAGCCCTGGGTCTCAGCGTTCCCCAGCGGCCGTTAACACATGGCGCTTCATCCATACTCCTTACTGGAGACTGGGAGCGGTACTCTCGGGTTTCGGGGACCAGGGCTGGAGGAGTGGCACTAATAGGTGATGGACGAGAGTTCAAACTGGGGCTGAGGGGGGCTCTCCCACTAGGAGCCTGGCTGAAGACCACCACGCACTGTCCCACCTGGAAGACAAAGGACCTGTGCTCACAGACTCTTCCATAATTCTCATCATTCAACCACCAAACATTTAAACACAGGCATCTGGAACACACCAGGCATTCTGTAGCCTTGAGATATGGAAGGGAAATGATCTAGAGATACAAATGATGCAGACTGCTCTCTAGGACAGAAGGGCAGATGCAGCAGCAACTGTGGCCCTGGTGTGACACGTTATTAGTTATGTCTGTACGTTAGTACAGCAGAGTGGAGGGAGCAAATAGTTTTGTTTGTAAGACTTGGGGGAAGATTTCATAGATAAGAAATGCTTTAAGTCAGGACTTAGAGGATGAGTGGGGTCACTTAGCCCACGTATGTTTTCCCATCTAGTGGCTCATATATGCGAGAGATGGCAAAGGAGCTATGATTTTCACTTTTTTTTTATTTTTTGAGACAGGGTCTTGCTAAGTTGCTCATACTGGCCTTGAACTCATGATCCTCCTGCCTCAGGCTTCTGAGTAGCTGGGATTATAGGAGTGTGCCTCTGTGCTTGGCTGACAGCACCTCTTTGTGACACCAGAGTGTTTTCTATTCTGTAAGTTTTCCTTTGAAATTTGTCAAATTAATTTGTTTTTCCAGTTTAGAATCTCTCCTTCTGCTGGCCTGTCAGTTCCTGGCTTACCCGGCAGGCTGGATGGCACCACAATTCTGGAGCCCCGTGATCTTCATTTTCTACCTTGAGTGGCTGCCAGGCCCAGGGACCTGAATGCATGTGCAACAACCAAGCATCCTTAAATAGCTGTAAGAAAAGGACCAACAACAGGACTCAGGTGTGGCATCTGCTACACACATACAGAGCTGCAGTCTCAAGCTATACTGTCTGGTCTAGAAAGTGTGTGGGCTGGTCAGAAAGAATAACAAAGCCCTCAGTTATTTGTTCAAGTATACATTCATTCATTCATTTACATTACCATGGATTGGTCTGACACACAGAACTGTGTTTGTGATCTATGAATTAACTAACTGGTTTTGTGTGTGTGGATAGTGGGGTGCAGGAAAGGGTCTGACAATAGATGCCTGCAACTTTATGAATCTGCTTTTAAAGTAAATTCCATGTGGACTCTGGCAGTTACCGACCTGCTTTTTTCTCTCACTGCCCCTTTGCCTTTGAAAACATGATAGCAGCAAACCTTAGAGCTTAAAGAAGGAATAGGAAGAATACAGATATGAATATTCAAGAGACAAATATCTAATTAAAAGCATCTCTCAACACCCAAAAAGAGTGGGAAAAAAGGCCAGAGAAAATGAAGGCTATATATCAAGTGGAAAAGGCACTTTCTAAATAAAAATACCATGGAAAAGTCTTGTCTACTCTTTTTATTTCTTGGTACTGGAAACTCAGTACCAAGGGGTGCTGAGCCACTTAGCCATATATCCCCAGCCCTTTTTATTTTGAGATAGGTTCTTGCAAAGTTGTTTAGGGCTTTGCTAAATTACTGAGGCTGGCCTTGAATTTGCTATCCTCCTGCCTCAGCCCCCCTCGTTGCTGGGATCGTGGGCTCATGCACTGTGTCTGGCCTGTCTACTCTTACAGAAGATAGGGGAAGCAAGTTTTGAACATTTATTTTGTGTATGGGAATGCCACAAGCAATACTCACAGCATTGGGACCACCACACCCTCCAAGGATTAAGATAGTTGCATCATCTATGACAATCTGGGGAGGGGAAGAAATTTAAAATAAATTTACACACATAGCCACCTGACTTCCCATGCTCTAGTGATATACAGAAATAGCATCCCCAGCTCCCCAAAAGAGTGTTCTAGTTACCATAAGCTCCCCATTCTCCCCAAACCAGGTCAAGTCTGATCCCTCTGACCAAATTACTGACAATTCACCTGAATGGATTCATTCTTTGTTGGTCAAATATTAACATGAGAGTCTCAAGCACTTAAAATGAAAGGTTCTCTTTGAGAAATGAAAATGCTTAGGGACAAGGCATAATATAAAGCCACTATAAATAATACAACCCATTAAAAGCCAAAAAATAAACACTAGTAAAAAAGAATGATAAATTCTCTTTGGCTTGGTGCATACTGGCATCTTACCTGACTCCCTCCTCCCTCTCCCGTCCTAACTGAAAGACGCTACAGAGTTTGCGGAATAGTTATTTTAATTCCTGAGCACCTGAGATTGGCCACCTCGAGGATGAGGACTAGGGCCAGAGATGTTCGGCTTGGACCATGCCCACTGCTCGAGGTCAAGGACCCAGACATCATTGCTCCTGTGAGAAAAGGACAGAAGGATGAGGAAGGAGGTCGGGAGCTCCCAGGGTGACATTGGTGGTCAGGGAGCTTCAGGTGCCTGTGCCCAGTGGTAAACTCACACCACTTTCCCACTCACCCAGACTGGCCTAGGGGAGGCTTCAGATGGTCTCCTCAGAGTGCAGAACCAGAAAGACAACTATGAATCCCAGCTGGCAGCCTGAACAAAAACCTTAACTTTCTTTAACTCTGGTTTCCTTACTATCAAAGAGAAACACTGCTACTTTAAAGAGCAGATATAAATGAAGTTATATTTATAAATAAGTCCTGCAAAGTGCCATGCTTATAGTTAGCACTTAAAACTATGTTCCTTCCCCTGCTGTCCCTAGAACTCATCTTGAGACCTTTAAACATTTGCCTTTTCCACTGACCATAGGCCTCACTTGAATCACACCTCTAGTTAGACATGAGTAGCTAATGTACAAGGTAATTAGTGACAGAGGAAACAGCTACTGGTCGAACTGCAATTATTCTAAACAATAACAACGACAAAACAACAAAAAACAGGAAGAGAAAAATGATTCAAGAAGCAGCTCTATCATTGTCTGGGGGTTAAAAGCTTTATTGATTCTGGTTACAAAAATAGTTTCATAATGGCTAAAGAAAGCATCAGTTTTATCAAGGACACACTGGCATCTCCAACTCCCGAAAGACCAGCACGGCAGGACAGACTCCTGGGTGGCAGTCTCTATTTTATGGCCATCTCTTTATGGTCCTCTGTTCATACACAGGATCCTACACAAGCTCCTCAACTTAAATCCTGAACCCTCTCATTTGGAGGGTAGCTCCTTTAGTCTCTCTCCATGATGGACAGAATATATGAAGATGGCAGGTGCTGTCAGGGGGAAAGAGCTGGGTCTGGCCTGACTTCACTGCTGGCAGCCCATCCACTCCAGCTGATAGAACAGAAGAAATGACCAGTACTGCAGCAGCTGCTGAATCAGATACATAGCACTACAGACGATGGCTCTGGCTCGTGACTCTGGCCTGAAATGGCCAGTGTGGAGAGGACAGTGAGTGGTGGTGTATGTCAAAGAAATGTGACATACCTGACATAATTCCCTTGCTTCTATCCACTCTTCCAACCCATCCCAATTTCTACTTGTCCTGTCTACCCCTCTTCTCTCTAAAAGGGGCCTAAGCTATGTAGTCAAGTAAGGCAAGGAAAAGCACCCTGCTTTCTGAAAGGTGGCCTTCTGTAGGCACAGTATAGCAGAATTGGAGTTCAATAAGAACTGGATCCTACTGTATGCATGTCCAACAGAAAGAGATCTGATTCAACCCTGACTTTATAGGACAAGCTTTCCAACTTACTGGTCTGCGACTGGGGACCACAGAATAAAATGTCAAGGTGAGATGACTATCTGGATTAATTTCAATTATGCTGAGGAACATTGTACCTAGTGTCTTGTTCACTTTTCTGAGCTGTTATTCTCATGATTATTTTACCTTCAAGTTAACATGGAACAAATCAAATATACTTACATTTGCCGGGATCCTAAAGAGCCACCAAAGACGATCATTTTATCATCTATCACACAGGAGGAGTGGCCGGCCATGGGAGGTGGCCCATGGGTTGTCACAATGCAATTCCACCTAATGCAAACAAAACAAACAGGAGGAAGCCGAGAAGTCAGCACCATCTGCTTCTATTTTCTGAGATGGGGTCTTGCTAAGCTGCCCAGTCCTCAGCCTCCTGTGTAGCTGGGACTCACAGGCACGTGCCACCACGTCCAGCTTCATCTGCTTCTGATTTTATAGACTTAAAGCAAAAAATCAGTTAAGCACGCATCACTAAAATGATAATCCCATCACTTCCAGCAGATGTTATTAGGATAATAAAAGGAGGATGACACAACTGTCTTTAAAGTTATATTCACTTTCAAGTTCTGAATGTGGCTGGTCTAGAGATAAAGTACAGAGATGAGAAATCAATGGCAAGGGACACAATCGTGACTTCTTGGCCTCTTCAGCCCGATGTGCTGAAAGAATACCACCTGCCAAGAACCACATTCTAAGTTTTCCATTATATGGAAGAGGGGATGCTGTCATTTCAAGAAGATATGTCTAAAAAACAGCTGAGATCCATCTTGGGGACAAAGCAGAGCAGATGGAATCATGTGGCTCTATACCACTTCTGGGGAACTACCAGCCAAGGCTGAAGAGCTCCCTCTTCTTCAACTGGCTCATTCATTTTTTTTTTTTTTTTTTAAGAGAGGAGCAAACCCCCTTTACTTTTTCTCTTTGGAAAAAGAGTTCTTGGGCTGGGATACGGCTCAGTGGTAAAGCACTTACCTAAGCATGCATGAGGCCCTGGGTTTGATCCCAATAGCATGAAGAAGAAGAAAGGAGAAGAAGAAAGGTTCTTAACTTAAATTCTAGGGGTCCTGAAAATCCTCTGATAGTACAGGCAAAATCTGGGTATACATACATTTCCCCTTTCCCCTCCTGGGAAATGTCCATGGCTTTTCTTCAATTTCTCCAAGGGTGTTTTTTTTTTTTTGTACCAGGGATTGAACTTGGGCACTCAACCACTGAGCCCCATCCCCAGCCCTATTCTGTATTTTATTTAGAGACAGGGTCTCACTTCTCACTGAGTTATTTAGGGCCTTGCTAAGTTGCTGAGGCTGGCTTTGAACTCATGAGCTTCCTGTCTCAGCCTCCCCAGATGCTAGGATTACAGGTATGCCTGGCCTCCAATGGTTTCTGGACACAAAACAGATAAAGAATCCAATAACTTAAAACATTGCCTTCCAGATTTAAAGCTTATCTTTTGGCTTACCAGTTTTTAGAGGGCGAGTAGGTGTGTATTTCATCAAAGAATCTCTCCGGTTGATGTAGAGGATAAGGGCTTGGCCGTGTCCAGCCACCAAAGAGCACTAGCAGGTCCTTGTACACGACCAGGGTTGCTCCGGCCTTTGGGGAAGGGTAGGACCCTAGGAGAGTCAAAAACACCATGCTTAAAACTCAGGATCATACCACAAGCCCTGGAAAAATGATCAAATGGAAACCACTACTAAAGAATAGGAGAAAGAGAGAGACAAAACTGGTTCGAAGGTCTGAGAAAAACACCACTCATTTACACATTTTTTTAATTAAAAGAGAACCCTGAGTTAGAGGGTAGTTACTTAGCTCCTCTCAGGTTCAACTAGCTCACCTGAAATCAGAGATCAAAGTACCTATCTCATAAGTCTGTTTTGAATTACTAAATACAGAGGTTCCCTAGTTCAACTTAAAATGGTTTGACTCATAATTTTTTAATTTTCTAGTGGGTGCTAAAGTGACAGTCATTTAGTAGAAAGCCCACTTCCATTTTTTCATCTGTTCCAAGGCTAGCAATATGTGGAATAATGCTTGAGATGCTGGGCAATGGCAGTGAACCTCAGCTCCCAGTCAGCTACATGAACGTGAGGGCAAACAACTGATCCTCCATAGTATGTTGTGTTGTTATGCTGTGGTGTTTAGTGAGTGAAGTAATTTTTTTTTAAAATTAATTAAGTGCATTTCGACCTATGATACTTTCAACTTACAATGCATTTATTGGGATGTGACTCTATCATACATTGAGCAGCATCTGTATTATATTCAAAGCACTTAGCATAGTAAGTACTATGTACATAGTAAGTACTAGTACATAGCAGGTGCTCAATAAATGTATGGCTCAGTGTAGGGAACTTGCCTAGCATGTATGAGGCCCTGGATTTGATCCCCAGTATCACAAAAAATAAACAAAATTAATTTTAAAATGCTGCTACCAAATGGGTAAAAAAAAAGGAGGCAAAATAAAGTTCTTATGTCCTGTGAGTCAAATGTCATTATGGTGACCTCTAGGCCCCTCCTAGCTAGAGTCTCAGACTAGCACAAATGGGCAGATTTCCAAGGCCTGATGTGAAGGGACTCTGATGAAACCACAGGCTTCACACCAAGAATGGCTTCTAAGGCTATCCAGGCTGAACTTTGAGCTACAGAGACCACATTTTGAAAGAACAGAAATTTGGCTTATGTTAGAAAACATTAGG